AGTGGGCAACTCAGCTAGTTCCCACGTCTGGTTTGATATAAGAGACTTCATCTCAGCTAGTTCCCACGTCTGGTTTGATATGAGAGACTTCATCTCATCTTTCATTGCAAGCTCCCACTTGCTCGCATCTCCACACTGACAAGCTTCATCAAATCTTTCAGGCTCCCCACCATCTGTCAACAACAGATAGTTCATGTATCTCCTGTTGGGTACAGGAGGACGAGAAGATCTTCTTAATATCGGCGCTGGTGCGTCGGGCTCCTGCGCACCATCTTGTCCAACAGGCTCTTCTTGCTGAGGACCCTCTGCATTGGGTTCTTTCGAGAGGTTGCTCGGGACATCATCTGCATCTACAAATATTGACTCGCTCTCTGAGTCATCTGTCTTGTGCATGTCCTTGTACATCACCTTCTCGTTGAATATCACATCTCTGCTCCTGATCACCTTCTTGTTTTCGTTGTCCCAAATGCGGTAGCCGAACTCATCTTCACCATAGCCGATGAAAGTGCATTTCTTTGACTTGGGATCAAGCTTATTCCTGCCTTGATCACTAATATGCACGTAAGCTACACAACCGAAAACTTTAAGATGTGAGAGTTTTACCTCCTTTCCGCACCATACCTCCTCTGGTATTCTGTGCTCCAATGGAACCGATGGACCTCGGTTGATCAAGTAAGCTGCTGTGTTGACCGCTTCTGCCCAGAACTGCTTCGGTAGGCCTGACTGTACTCGAATGCTTCTGGCTCTCTCTGTCAACGTTCGGTTCATTCGCTCAGCTACTCCATTTTGCTGAGGCGTGCCGGGCACGGTTCTCTCCATTCTGATCCCGTGCTCATAGCAGAACTTCTTGAATCTGGTGTCTTCATATTCACCGTCATTGTCGGTCCTGAGCTTCTTTATTCTCAGACCGGTCTCATTTTCGACCATAGCTTTCCATCTCCTGAAAGCCTCAAATACTTCTGACTTATGCTTCAGAAAGTAGACCCACACTTTCCGAGAGTGATCATCGATAAAAGTCACGAAGTAGTGTTTCCCACCAATCGACGCGGTGGTTGTTGGTCCCCACACATCTGAGTGAACAAGCTCTAGCTTCTCTTTCCTGGGGGTTCTGCCACTTGTCTGAAAGCTGACTCTCTTCTGCTTTCCGAGTATGCATTCTTCACACATATCCATCTCCACTGACTGCAGTCCTGGGAGTTTTCCCTTTGTGTGCATGATCTTCATCCCCTTCTCACTCATATGACCGAGTCTCTGGTGCCACAGCTTTGAAGTTTCATTGCCTGCTGTAACTGAGATCAAACAACGTGCACCTGCTGTCATATACAGGGTACCAGTCTTCTTGCCTCGGGCAATCGTCATTGCGCCCTTTGAGATCTTCCAATCACCTCCAATGGAAGGTCGTGGTGTATCCTTCGCCAGCCAACTGACCTACGGATATTAAATTCTTTCTCAGGTCGGGAATATGCCTGACATCCTTCAGCTCCCATACTGACCCGTTCAACTTAATTTTCACCACGCCTTTGCCCACGATAGCACATGATTGATCATCACCAAGATATACGTATCCAAGATTTTCGGGAACATACTTCTCGAAGAATTCTCTCTGAGAGGTAGCATGGAACGACGCTCCTGAATCTAACACTCAAGATTCCTCCTTGCTCTCCAAAGAGCATATCAATGCGTCGTCTCCTCCTGAAGTGGAGGTGACATTCACCTCTGCCTTCGCTTCTCCTTCTGTGCGCTCTGAAGTTTGATTTTCCTCGTCCGTTTTCTCTGGTTGAATTTCTACCTCTTGACTCTGTATGCAATACTGAAGATGTTGTAGCTTCACCAGTCTCTCTCCGTCGGATCTCCTCGCTGAGAACCAAATCACAAACGTCGCCGAACTTCAACTTTTTCTTTCCCGACGAGCTACTCACAGCTGTGACTGTAGCGTTCTAACTTTCTGGTAGGGAAGACAAAAGTATCAACGCCCGAACTTCATCATCAAATTCAATCTCAACTGAACTCAATTGGGTTGTAACCGTATTAAGTTCATTGAGGTGTTGTGCTACTGACGCGCCTTCCGCCATTTTCAGATTGAATAACCGCCGCATCAAATGAACTTTGTTCGCGGCTGATGGCTTCTCATACATGTTTGAGAGTGCTGCCATAAGACCTGCCGTGGTCTTCTCATTCGCTATGTTGAACGCAACATTGCGAGTCAACGTCAATCTGATAACTCCGAGGGCTTGTCTATCCAGAAGGTTCCACTCTTCTTCCTTCATGGAATCCGGCTTCTTCCCCGATAGTGGTTGATACATATTTTTTTGATACAGATAATCCTCTATCTGTATTTTCCAGAATCCGAAATATGTTCCATCAAATTTCTCAAGTTTTATTTTCCCTTCATCTCCGGCCATGGCTCCCACTTGAATCTGATTTTCTCTAGATCGTTTCACGCTCTGATACCAGTTGTTGGGAATTTAACGCTGAAATCCCTAATGCAACAGAAACGCAGAATAGAGAACAGTACACAAGATTTACGAGGTTCGGCAACTGCCTACGTCCTCGGGAGCCACACAGATAATTTCTTATTAATCAAACAAGAAATTACAATTTAAGAGCAAATCCCTAAACTGAGATTTTTCAAATGAACACTGTAGCTACAGTGTTCATTTGAGAGATCTCATTTTTGATCTGCTCTTAATCTGTAAGTTCTTGTTTGGTTAATAAGAAATTATCTGTGTGGCTCCCGAGGACGTAGGCAGTTGCCGAACCTCGTTAAAACTTGGTGTACTTTTTCTATTCTGTGTTTCTGTTGCATTAGGGATATTGGCATTAAATTCCCAACATGTCTATCTTATCAATATCACTCCTTCTGTATTGACTGACACCTCTCCATACTTTCAACTTTTTAAGTCTCAGTTTCGATATTCTCTTCTTCATACATTTGAATGTGTTTGTTTTATCCTACTTCCAACTAATGAGCGAGATAAACTATCTCCACGCACTGCACGATGCATCTTTCTTGGCTATAGCACAGTTTACAAAGGGTATCGTTGTTATGAACCTACTACTCGAAAGCTTCGTATTGCCCGTCATGTGAGCTTCTTTGAGAATACTTCCCATTATACTACTTTAGATTTAGATCTCTCCTTTCTTCAACCTCCTTCATTACCTTCCACTACCATACATGTACCATTGGCACCTATATCTTTGTCTGCTTATCCTACTCCCTCCTTCACTCCAATGGCATCTCATGAATAATTCTCATGATTCATCCACACCTTCTGGACATCGATCTACTACATCACTTGCATTACAAGATACTCCTATTGATGTCTACTCTATATCTGTGCCATAGCGGTTGCATTGTAGCTATAGGTAGGTGGCAGCACTGTAGCTGTAGGCCGGGTACTGTAGCATAGCCGGTAGCACTGTAGCTTGTGTGACTTTAACAGTTTATATGACCAATGTGTTGTATTTGTACGAGTTTCAAAATTATATTAATAACAGCCTACACTATAGGTTTGTACAACAACATCAACAACGACAACCATGCCTTCATCCCAAGTTTCTAGTGATGACTATGTAAATCATACGTGTTCAATAACATCCCAGATGAGCTTGCTTTATAAGTCCCATTTAAAAAAGTATTGCTTCCGCAACTTTTGAAAAAAAAATACCTTACAAGCTCCTGTAGATAAGCTGGGTTTGACGAAGCAAAAAATTATTCTATCCAATACAATTTCATAGAAGTTCTATTAAAAGGCAGAAAAAGTTGGTATCTAGAAAATAAGCCCTCCCAAACACCCTCAAAATTCTATTGCTGCTCTTAATTGGTGCAGTTAATAACCTCCTTGCACATGACTGAACCTATCTCATATTATTCTTTGTCATTTTGTCCTCAATATCAGCGAACTCTTATCTTCATGAATGAACTTATTTCTCATCCCTTCCCTTCGTGTATATCCACTTGTTCATCATACATATAGATATGTGTGAATGCAAAAACTCTAGGAGTATAAGTGAGTGATGCTCAATGGGTGTTTCTGTTTTAATTTATATTCTTAAGTGAAGTAATGCCATTAGCTAGGTACTTTTTTAGCTTTTATCTGTGCTTCATATCATAGACCCTAAGTTCGATGGATCAAAGCAGTTTGTACTAAGAATGCTTTTTTTTTTGTTCCTTTAATGGAATACATGTATTGTAACTTTCTCTTTTGTTTTTTCTGATCCAAAACTTATAATTTTTTTGTTTTATCAGGTCGCTGACATTTGAAACCTAGCAACACCTGTATGTGTTATATGGTACAGAAATTGTTTGTCATGGAGCAAGTATAGCTACCTTAATTTAATGTGATGTATCTAATGATCATAGCGACACTGTTGAGCTGCTATCAGTTGACTTAGTCTCTATTTTATAGAAAAGAAGTAATGCACATTTTTTTTCACTTTGATTTGTTGGTTTTGTCTATATGGTCTTTCACTTTTCAAGTGTTTGCATATGACTTAATAGGCATATTAGATACAACAATTCACCATATGTATAAATGACTAGTATTTAATCTGTCAAACTGATATTAATATTGCAAAACCAAGTTTCTGTTTTAAAAAAGCAAAATAAATAAATAAAGAAAGAAATAAACAGAGGTGATATCTTAAATAGTTCTGACCATCCCTTGGTTTCTTTCTACGTACTTGATTTTTGCACAAGGGGGTAGAACCTTCATTATGTTCGTGCAAGAATAGGTTGTTACCTTTTCTTTGACAAGAGGTTGGTTATTTATGGAGATGTATAGAAATATGCAAGTGGATGTACACTGTAGATGGCATAATAGCTTGTGTTGAATTGAATCATGTTTAATTGTAGCGTGCCAAATTGCTGCATTTAATTTCGTGTATAATTTTTAGTTCTCTTTGGAATTCTGTTTTGGCTTTTCACATGCATGAAATGCAAAAAAATTAGTGCGCTCACGTTATTGTTTGAGCTTGACAGGGTGTTCTTTTTTGGACAGCTTTGTGCAGCCCTAAACATAAACAAGCCAAGTGTGGATAGAGACCTTGACGTATATCGCGGCCTTCTATCAAAACTGGTTCAAGCAAAGGAGCTCTTGAAGGAATATGTGGATAGGTGAAATATTCATTCTTGCAATTTTTTATACCCAAGAAAAATCATGTGAAATTTTTTTAGAGAACACATACTATGAAGCACATCATGTTATAATCGAACAAGGTCAATATGCTATAAAATATTTAATGAATTTTTTAATCTATTAGCTTGTTGTGCCATCTTAATCCTACTCATCACCTTGGGTTCGAAGTGAAAATTTCCATTATCTTTTTTCTCAGAGAGAAGAAAAAGAGGGAGGAGAGGGTTGGATCTCAGAAAGCTAATGAAGCCGTTACAAAGTGTTCAGGAGATTTTCTATATTCAAGGCATTAGCTCCAGCAAGGTAACTTCAAGACGTACCAAGTGCTTATTTCATGGAATTTTAATGGAGTTCCTTTACATTCTTCGAGGCAAACTGTGACCTGTAAAGTACTCATGCTATATAGCAGGTTATGTTCCACATAGTACTATTTTGGAGTGTGAGCATACATGCAAGTCATAATTATTTAGTTGCTTCGCTTTTCTCTTTTTTATGTAATTTTCTGTCATTTTTGTTACCTGTAAATGCATGCGGATCACTATTCTCCAAAGTAATGCAAAGTACAATTTGTTATGTATTGTGACTTTGTTGTTGTGTCGTTATTATGGTATGAGAAACTGTTTCGCAAGAAAATGCTGTTTTGGGGTTAAGATATGAAATTGGAGGTCTATATTTTGAAGATATAATGTTGTCTTCTTTATATATCAACATTCTGGAGGTTTACTCTTATTATTATTATTATTATTATTATTAAAGCTTTTATTTATCAGTCTTAGGTAATCAAACAGCAGAAGAAAATGCATATTGCAGAAGGTACTCTTCCATTTTGTAATTTAGAGCTTTCCTCTCGTGAAATGGAGACTGAGAAATGCAAGGGAGGCTCAACTTTCTAATTGTACTGTTATTTTGCGTAATAATATTACAACCGCAGGTCCACAGCCGATCAAACGAGAGCGTGATGACAAATGCTAACCCGATTGCATTAGTTATCAATTATCATGCATGTACACTCTTCAGTCCAAAATCATAGAAATTCAAGCAATGAATTTGTCGGAATTAGTCTTACTGCACTTTTCACTTCTCTCAACAAACTATTTGATGGAACTAGAAAAACTCAAACCCGTTAGTTGAGAAAATAAAGGGGAAATAAGGGAGTTTGGGGCTCGTTTAGGAAGTAGATGAAAGAAATAATTTCCTTCTTTTTTTATTTTTTATTTTTTTGTAAGAAGAAATAGGGCGAAATGCCTTGTTCATTTCATTGCCATAAGTTAGCAATTCTTAGGTAGGCTAGGGGATAAGGAGAAATAAAGTATCATCCAATTCATACCTACAGATAGGGAGAGGATCATTATCATCACCTATCATTTAGGTTATAGATGGTTGATACTCTGTTTGCCTCAGTCTCCAACGGACCCAAAAAATCTATAAAACAGTTACAAAAGTTGTATCAAAGCCGCCCACTATAGCACAAAAAAAAAAGGAAAAAAAAACAACTACAACACACACATAAGAAGAGAAATTGTTTTGTTTATCCAACAGAAAAGCAGCATGAAACCCATCGGAAGTTAGCTCCCTCTCCAGGTTCATCCTTGCTCTGCAACAATGCTTCAATTCCTTGCTCTTTGGCAGCTGTTCTCACCTCCTAAGCCCCTTCTTTGCTGGAAATCCCTATCCAGAACATGATGAAATGAGCTATGTTAGTCGTTATCTGCTGTGGTACGAACGTTTCTCCATTAAAAATTAAATTGAACAAATTTTCACTGTAGTCTGATTTTAATTTTTTATTATCAAAATCGACTGTGTATCCTTTTATTTACTGAAATCGACCGGTTTTCTCGCCACGTCAGCGTCGTGGCGAGAAAGCTGGTCGATTAATTTTTAATCGTCTTCGTAAACAGTCGGGGTTGGCAACCCCGACTGTTTAGCCCATCGCCTGTTAAGAGGTTAACTAAATGGTCGGGGTTGGGAACCCCGACCATTTCGTAAGAGACCTATTGGTCGGGGTTGGGAACCCCGACCATTTCGAAGCTCATTTTTAATTGGTCGGGGCCCCAACCCCGACCATTAAGCAGAGGGCAAGGGCGAGGCCGAAAGTAGTCGGGTTTGGGAAACCCGACTACTTATTCTGGGTCCCCACCACCGTATAAAAGCCACCGCAACCCCCTTTCCCCGATCCCATCTCATTTCTCCGCCTCTCTCTTCTCTCTCTTCCGTCTGTTCTCCCAAAACCAGCTTCAGATCTCAATTTTGAGCTCGTTTCTTCGGCGGAACTTCAAATCAAAAGTTATCTTAAACGTATATTGGTAATTTCTTCTACTCCTCTCCTCTTTTAACTTGTAGAAATGTAGGATTTTTTTCTTAAAAATAATTTGCTAGGGTTTTCATTCATAAATGAATTTCGTGGGCTAGATTTATCTGTGAAATTCGTTTGTATGATGATTATTATCGATGTAATTAACTTTTAGGGCATATAATGTTCAATTGTTCAATTTTAGGGTTTAGGATTTACAATTTGGGAATTAGGGTTTTTGGTTGAAATTATATAAGATTATTTGCATATTAATTTAATTTTTTTATATTTAAATGATATAATTTTCTTTTGAATAGGTTGAACAATATGATGTTTATTGTTTGTTCTTATGGTGGGCAAATTAATTATGGGATGAATAATATGCCAATGTACGTCGGAGGGGTAACGACGCCATTAATGATCTCGGAATCATATAGTTACTACGACTTGGTTATGGAATTACACCGAGTTACGGAAATTGACCCACGAGAATACCGACTGAAAATTATATGCAATTGGCCCATAGCTATTGATAGAACATCCGCAGTGGAGATCTCGAACGATTATCATATGAGTATTATGTTTAAATTGGGCAAGTCGCAACAAACGGTAGAATTGTTTATAGAAAAGTTACCACATAATCTGTGCCAAATATTCAAACCTCCAGGAGAATTCTCACGCATGTTAGATATGAGAGTTAATTCCGATGGGTTTCTTTCTTCTTCGAATGAAATGGAGCGGGCTCAATTCGGTGGAACGTCAAATGTCATGAATAACGAAGTCTCTTATGGAAATATGGGGCCGTTAAGTAGGGCATCAATCGAAGAGGATGAAAGAAGCAATGACTCGGGAGGTGAAGAACAATATAGTGCACCAGTTGATAGCATGCAATTTGTTACCCAAGATGTCGAAGATAATCCGGAATGGCCTGATGAGGCTTACGTTAATAATGACTACGTTGAGTATGAAGAACCACCCCCCGACGAGTTTGAAGATGATGAGTGGATTCGTTCTTCCACAGTAAAAGATATGTGCATCGGTGAAAGTTCAACTCGTAGAGGAGATGATGACGCCCCCTTTAAAGTTGGTGATTTATTCGAGACTAAAGACCAATTGGTTGATGCTATTCGTGAATACTCTTTCGAAAAGAATTTCAAGTTCAAGCAAGTTAAAAGCAATCACACAAGTTATGATGCAATATGTTTTATAAACACGCAAAGAATAGGTCTGACCGAGGGAAATGAAGCTGATTACTCATGTCCTTGGAAGTTATATGCATTTGCAGGAAAGAAACACAATTTTCAATTTAGGATCAGTGAATACTGCGGTGTTCACACATGTGTCAATCCAATATTAGAGCAAGATCACAGTGGTGCATCTGCCTCTTACATAGCGCGGTTGATTATGCCAAAATTAAGGAAGAAGCTTGATCTAACGCCCGATAATATAATTGAGAAAGTGCTTGATACCAAGTTCATTAAAATCTCGTATATTAAAGCATGGAATGCAAGAAGAATTGCGATGACAAAAATATTTGGTGATTGGGACAAGTCTTACGCGACACTAGCTCAATATCTTGATGCGATCAAAAGAAGTAATCCTGGATCTGAATACAAACTCATAACCAAAGAGATCGATCCGGGAGTTCATCAATTCACCTCCGTTTTTTGGGTATTTGGGCCTTCTATTGAGGGGTTTAAATTTTGTCGGCCTATTCTTAGCATTGATGGCACACACTTATACGGTAAATACAAGGGTGTACTGCTTGTTGCTACAGGAGTTGATGCAGATGGTGGCTTATTTCCTTTGGCCTTCGCCGTTGTGGAGGTCGAGAACAGTGAAAATTGGGAGTGGTTTTTTTCTTGCATTCAATTATATATTTTTAATGTGTTGCCTCCTAGAAAAATTACTTTCATATCTGATAGGATGAAAGGTATTCCAAAAGCATTATGGAGGAGATTTGGCTCTCATCACCATCATCGCTATTGCTTACGACACATTAGAGCTAACTTCAAAAAGAGCTTTAGTCAGATTCATTTACAAAACCTTCTGTGGCAAGCGGGTTGTACGCCGGAAACATATGTGTATGATCGGATACGGGATCAAATCAAGACAACATCTCAAGCTGCACATGATTGGATTGAGAGAAGTCTGGGCAGTGATTACGTCGACCGGTGGGCACTCAGTAAAGATGGAGGGAATCGGTTCTGCATGATGACAACCAATTGTTCTGAAAGCTTCAACGGGGTACTTAAGGGGGCTCGGGCAATGCCCATACAGGCGTTGGTTGCGAGGACATTTTATAGGCTCAATTACTATTTTGTCAAGCGGCGAGAGGATGGAGCAATGTGGGCCTCGTTCTTGACACCAAAAAATGAGGCGATTTTAGAGGCTCGAGTTAAGCAGGCGAGAGGCACGAAGATTGTTAGATTTGCTGTAGATGAATGGGAGGTTACAGACAAACATGGTCACAATTACACCGTCAATTTGGGAGGTGCACATTGCACATGCACCTGTAACATACCAGAATTGCAAAAATTGCCTTGTCCACATGTCATAGCGGTTACGTCCAAGCAATCGGGGGGTGCAAATATTTCGTATTACACATACGCTTCTGAGTGGTATCAATCAAGCAACTATAGAGAGGCATATAAGCAGTGTTTCCACCCCGTACATGATAGTCGTTATTGGCCACACTATAACGGGCCGCATGTGGTGCCTCCAAGCTATAAGAGACAAGCCGGACGCCCACGATCAGTACGCTTAAAAGGTACTATGGATGAAGGCCGGGAAGGAGCTCCGAAAAAAAATAGATGTGGATATTGCAGACAAGCCGGGCATAGAAGATCTCATTGCCCGACCAATCCAAATAGATAGCAATTAATGGGTACAATTTTATACATTTGTAAATCAATGCTTATAGTAAAATCAATGCTTATAGTCAAACAATGCTTATAAATCAATGCTTATAGTAAAATCAATTTTTTTCTAACTCAATTATAGATCAATTAATGTATCATCGTTATATGTGCAGATATTTCAGTTATGGAGGCGGGTCCATTGACACGTGATGTTCTTTATGACCAAGAGCGCCACCGATCCGCGAAGATAGACGCTGGGGAGGTAAAGTGCAATTTTATTATTTTCAATTATATATAAATTTCAATGTAGTTGATTGTTACTGAACATTTGCACTGTTTACTACATGCAGGCCCCGAGTATTACTATTGTCGATCATACCCGTGCACATTCTAGCTGGGAGTTGACGGATCCACAGATACAATATTATGTGCGTCAAGCCGGCTTTTTTGAGTGTTCACAAATTAAATGGGTAAGACTTGATTGGGCACTTTTGACGGCATTGGTTGAACGATGGAGGCCCGAGACAAATACTTTCCATCTGCGCCAAGGAGAGGCGACGATTACCTTACAGGATGTTGGGGTTATACTTGGCCTCAGAGTAGATGGTGATGCAGTGACGGGCACCGATGACTTCCACTATGGCACTACGTGTGAAGAATTGTTGGGTCACACTCCTACAATGAAGGGGGGAAAGATCAAACTCGAATGGTTAAGGAATAACTTTCAGAATGTACCGATCGATGCGACTGATGAGATCATTAAGCGCTATGCCCGTGCATATATTTTACATATGATCGGTACTATTCTGTTTCCGGATTCCACTAAGGATTCCGTGCACGTGAGATGGTTACCGCTTCTTGGGGACCTAGAAGAGTGTGGAGAGTTATCTTGGGGGAGTGCAGTGTTAGCCTACTTGTATAGAGAGATGACGAAAATAGCACTCGTACAAAATAAAGAATTGAAGGGCTGCCTCACTTTGCTGCAGATATGGTCATGGGAGCGATTGCATATGGGAACACCTGATTTGAGGGAGGCCCGCGCTCTCGATGGGCATATTCCGTTAGGCTGCAGGTATTATTAAGATGCATGTAATTTTAGTGCTTTATTTCAATATATACTAACCCGTTGTATATAAAATAGATGGAATGTGTCCAGATCTTGGCAAACCTCTCCAAAGGGGCATGAAAACTTTTACAGAAATGAGCTTGATCAGATGGAGGATGAACAGGTATAAAAATTATAATATCTAAATATATTCAATTATGCGACCAATTGTTACCAATATCTAAATATATTCATTCAATATCTCATAATATCTTCTTTATAGGTCAAATGGATGCCCTACGAGCTAGTGTTGGAGTCACTACCGGATATTTGCCGAGAAGGTGAGGATGTATGGCGTGCTCGCGTCCCCCTTATATGCTTTGAGATTGTCGAAATGCACTTGCCTGACCGTGTGCTTCGACAATTTGGACTACGGCAACATATTCCAGCGCCTGTGGAGAGAATAGAGAGAGATCCAAGAAAAGGTGCACATCGTGCTAATTGGCAAATAATTCGCCAAAATTACATCCATAGGTGGGTTTTAAGGGAGGAACAGGTAGTGATGGAGAGGGCTGATGCACCTGACCTAGGTGTGTACCTACGGTGGTATTGGGGGATTACTCGCCGGTGGATATTTCAGGAAAACAAAGCCCCGAAGGAGTACATACCAAGAGGCCCAGTCGAGAGAGAGTTGGTAAGTGTATAAGAAAAATATACAATTATTTTCTGAGTTTTATTTTCTCACCATCCACTTGATAATAATTTTCTTTCGGTTTTTATTTTATAGGTACAAGAGCTCGAAGAGCTTTCCGGAATGGCACATGACGCATTGCGCACGACTACCGAGCAGGAGCCGAGGAACATGTTCCTTCGAATGATAAAAAAGATACGGTCGGCTCTTCAGAGGACGCGTCATGCAAGCCGTGATGGACGGGAGGAGCGACCAATTGAGTATGGGCGGCGACGTCGACGAGATCACACGGGGGCGGGATCAAGCTGTGCGCATGATTTTATTTACTGAAATCGACCGGTTTTCTCGCCACGTCAGCGTCGTGGCGAGAAAGCTGGTCGATTAATTTTTAATCGTCTTCGTAAACAGTCGGGGTTGGCAACCCCGACTGTTTAGTTCAGCGCCCGCTAACAGCTTCACTAAATGGTCGGGGTTCCCAACCCCGACCATTTAGTTAACCTCTTAACAGGCGATGGACTAAACAGTCGGGGTTGCCAACCCCGACTGTTTACGAAGACGATTAAAAATTAATCGACCAGCTTTCTCGCCACGACGCTGACGTGGCGAGAAAACCGGTCGATTTCAGTAAATAAAAGGATACACAGTCGATTTTGATAATAAAAAATTAAAATCAGGCTACAGTGAAAATTAAATTATTTCTTATCCTCCACAAGCACTAACAGAATGCAAGAATTAACACTTTCTACATCTTTCATAGCTTCCCATCATGAATAAAGTCCCCATTTGATTCTAGTAGTGCATGGGATGAAACATGCCCGTGCACAGAAAGGAAGTACCAAACCTCCAAGGTAATTTGGACATGTGTAGAAGAGGTAGTGATCGCATTCAATCTCAAATGAGCATAGAGAGCAAGTAGAATTACCTACTCAACTTTTTTTTTTTTGCATAAAATCCCTTTAGTTTGTAGCTTGTGCTTGGATAGGAGTCAGAAGAAAATATTTACCTTGTTTTGGATGGAGTCCCAAATGAACTTGTAATGTTTAAAAAGGAAACCCCTCTGTTGAGAATTGAATATAGAAATTTGAATTTTGTAGTCGAAAATAGCGGAAGCAGTATTTTTGTTTTCCACATATTTTTGGAACTAATGGAAATAGTACTTCTTCCACTTTATTCACTTTTTTGTTTGGACAACAACTGAAGGTATTGTTAGGAAGAGAGAGAGATTATCTTTCCGGATTTGATTTAGAAGTGGAGAATATCCATATAATACAAAATTTAATTTTATTCCTAAATTTTAACTATTTTCGAGCCTTGAGGGGCGAACAAATATTTAAGAAGTAGAAATGACATATGGACATTATGTCAGCATTTAAGGAAGTACCAAAAATAGATTTTCCAAAGAAACAGACATATTGTTTTTGCTCGGAAGCAATAGAAGTAGCCTCAACTTTTTTTTTACTTCAGCTACTTCCATGCAAACAAACATATCATTATTGGAATGTATATGAAGTGTGCATACACACATCAAAAAAATAAAAATAAAAATAAACACACCCCTTTACGTTTTTATCCAAAAAATAAATAAAACATACACACCCCACTTTACTTTTTTATCCAAAAATAAAAATAAACACACACCTTTACGTTTTTTATCCAAAAAATAAATAAAACACACACACCCCACTTTACTTTTTTATCCAAAAATAAAAACAAAAATAAAAACACACACACCTTTACTTTTTTTTATTTAGCTTTCCTATATTGGATGTAAATGGGTCTGGACGGAACCACGTCCAGTACCTTTTCCGTAAAAATATGCCTCTAAAGGCCCAAGCCCAAAATGTTCAACTTAGGAAGAAGTGATATCTCACACTTTGTTGTAGCAATTTAATATTTAATTAGGGCTAACTCCATTGGTGTGTAAAAGTCTATAGCTTAAACTCATTTATTCCTTAACCAATAAGAATTGTATATATTACACTCCTCTTTTCTCGGAAAGGGTGCATATGTTTACTTTATTATGGCTATTTGGCATAAGAAAGCTCTTGGAATTGGTCTTTGGAACTATGATCACACAAAAGGTCTCAACAACCGAATCTCTGAGACCATGGAGTACATTACTAACCTATATAAGATAAGGCTCACATTGTTCTGTTCAAGGTTTGTTGGGACTAAATGGACACCTCACTAGGTCATTAACCCTAGAAAATTAACATCATCTCTTACTTTTTTAACAAGATAGATGGCTTATCAAGGCAACCATATTGTATGAACCTCGAACGTTGCCAGAGGGGTTACTCTAATTAATACAAGAGGGCTAATTAAGATTCTAAATCCTCACTTAGCTTCAAACCTAAGTTGGTAAGCTGATTTAACTAATTAAAACTATCTGTGCTTGTCTTGCTAACACCAAACATGGAGATCCTAGAGCTAGACTTAGTTAACTAATCTTTTCTTCTTCACTCAAGACCTTATTCTTTCATTTGCATCATCCCTTGTGAGTGTAGCTTGTTAGGTCCGCCCACATGGGTACAGGATGGTAGAAGTTTCAACACTTTAGTAATGTGGTCATAATTTGCATCTTACCAACTACATTATAATGCAAAATTAGATTTGGATCTGTGTATACCTAAAAAAAATTGATAAATAGTTCATATTCCTTTATCACAATTATCTAATATTTAGTTGACTGTTGTAATCCTTGATGTTTGCTTATTCTAATCTATCTCATATTTTGTTTTCCCCCCTGAGTAACAACGAATATACACATACATGCTCCAAATAATAAATGATTTATGATTGAGAAAATAAGTACAGTCCAATAGGAAAGAGCATATGAATCCTTATAAAAGTATACGTTTCTGCTTTGTGCATCATAATCTTCATTGTAAGAAAATTAATGTTGTTAGATAATATCATGAGCCGCCTCAGCCGCCTACATGTGTATAACCGCCTCCTAGCCGCCCTACATGTATATAGCCACCTTAGCCGTCTCCTAGCCGCCTCCTAGTGTGGGTTACTGTTTGTGTATATATACACTGTAAATCTGATCATCAAATCAAGTTCTCTTCAATACCAACTTAACATGGTATCAGAGTAAGTCTTGCTGATCTTGAGAGATCTATTCTTCCAACATCTTGGACCGTCAAGGGGGTTCATCTCGACG